AGAACCACCGGAATATGGGTATATATAGTGCCAAACGGAGGACCACCAATATTAGGTAGGAACGATCTAGCAAAGCTCGGTATTAAAAACGTGTTTGAGTGTAAATTCATCGGTGCAGAGGATAGCGTTAAAACAATTTTAAATAAGTATCCTAACGTATTCAGCGAAGAGCTAGGGACATTTAAGGGGTACAAAATATCCCTTACAACGAGGCCGGGGACCACACCAAAATTCTTTAAACACCGACCAGTGCCCCTAGCGCTAAGAATAAAAGTCGAGGCTGAAATAGATCGATTGTTGGCCATCAACGCCCTGATACCGGTCGACCACAGCGAGTGGGCAACTCCCGTAGTTCCAATTTTGAAAGAGGACGGTAGCGTCAGGTTATGCGGAGATTTTAAAATAACCGTAAAACCCGTATTAGTCAGTACAGAATATCCCCTACCAAAAATCGAACACCTCTACGCCAGAATATCGGGAGCGAAATACTTTTCAAAAATAGACTTGAAAGACGCCTATCAGCAGTTGGTACTCGACGATAGTTCACGCGCATTAACGACAATAAACACGATTAAAGGTTTATTCAGGTATACGCGCGTTCCGTTTGGACTGAAATCATCGGCGAGCGAATTCAGAAAGCGATCGAAAGTATCACAAAAAAGGTGGAGGGGGTCGAGGTATTCATTGACGATATAATAGTATCAGGTAGGACGATACCCGAACATAACATACGTTTGGAACAACTTCTAAAAGCACTCGGCTCAGCAGGGCTGAGAGTAAGAGAGCGTAAGTGTACCTTTATGCAGACGGAAGTAGAATATTTAGGTCATAAAATAGACGGACGGGGTTTGCATACATTAGACAAACACACAATCGCGATTAAGGAGGCAGCGGCGCCCCAAGACAGGTCAGAATTAAAAAGTTTTCTAGGGTTGGTAACATACTACACTAAGTTCGTGAAAAATGCGGCACGGATACTTAAACCGTTGTACGACCTTTTAAAAATGGGCGCGAAATAGTCATGGTCCAAAGAAGCGGACGAAGCGTTTGATAGCATTAAATCGATATTATCGTCCAAACCAGTACTAGACCACTATGACCCGTCGGTGCCGATTAAACTAATGGTAGACGCGTCATCATTCGCTATCGGCGCGGTTATATCACAGGTATACGGCAACGCCGAAAAACCAATATCCTATGCATCGCGCGTCTTATCAGAAGCGGAACGCAAATACCCGCAAATTGAAAAAGAGGGGTTAGCGATAATATACGGCGTTCAAAAATTCTACGACTACTTGTACGCACGAAAGTTTACTTTAATCACCGACCATAAACCACTCTACCACATTTTCGGGGAAAAGAAAGGTATACCAATTTACGTGGCTAATAGACTACAGAGGTGGGCGTACGTACTAACAGCATTCGACTTTGACATTTCGTTCGTTAAATCAGGGAAGAACGCAGCGGATTTCTTATCGCGCATAAGAACAGGCACAGCAGACAGAGTGTCTACGGCGCCGCAGTGTCTAAACTTTATATACGACAACTGTCCGTTCAACGTTAATTGGGTCAAAATAAAAACGCAAACACGAACCGATAAAATCTTATCGCAGGTAATTAAGGCTATCAACACAAGCGATTGGCCAACAGGCGCGGATAAAAATGAATTGCTTAAGTCATATTACACGCGACGCCACGAAATTTCAACCGAACAGGACTGTTTGATGTGGGGGTACAGGGTGATTATGACAAGTAAGTTCAGGGAGGCCCTGTTGACAGAATTGCACTCCTCGCACGCGGGAATGAGCTGCATGAAGGCGATCACGCGTTCGTATTTTTGGTGGCCGGGGATCGACAATGATATTGAAAACAAGGCGTGCAAATGCGAAAATTGTATACAGGTTAGACCCGCACCACCAAAAGCTGTGCTAACGCCATGGAAGTGGCCGGAACAAGTGTGGACGCGCATACACGTAGACTTTTTAGGGCCTTACAAAAATAAAAATTTTTTAATAGTAGTCGACGCGACTTCAAAATGGCTCGAAGTGTTCGAGGTAAGCACGAGTACGGCGTCAGTGGTAATCGGAAAAATGCAAGAACTTTTCGCTCGTTTCGGTGTCCCCAAGTCCATTACCACCGATGGAGCCAAGTGTTTCACAGGTACGGAATTCGGTACGTTCTGCGTCAACGGAAACATAAAACACTTGGTGGGAGCTCCGTTTCACCCGGAAACAAACGGGGCAGCCGAATCAGGGGTTAAAATTGTAAAAAATTTCTTTAAGAAAAACCAAACCACCAGCGCGACGCTATTACAGAAGTTCCTGTTATTTTACCGAAACACACCGCACTCGGCAACGCGCCAGACCCCGGCAAAATTATTACTAGGACATAGCACCCGAACACAGTTCGATATATTGATTCCCAACACAAAAGACGTGTTAAGCGATCGCCAGGATTCCCAAATCAAACGTCACGGTAAACGACAGCACGAAATCCAACAGGGAGACACAGTGGCCGTGCGAGATTATCGGACGAATGAAAATAAGTGGTCGGTAGGGACCGTCACGAAAAATGTGGGAAAACAAGCGTTCGAGGTGGATACTGAGGCGGGCACATGGAAGCGACACATAGACCAGACCATTAAAATACCAAACTCAGGAGTGTTGGAAGTCGAATGTAGCGAAAACCCATCCCACCCAAGGGGGGGACTAGAGCCAGACCGGGAGGGATACAGACGGGCCAGACAGGGAAACCGAGACAATCTCAACCGGACATTCGCACCCGACTAGAATGAAAAGATCGCCCGACCGCTATACGACAATAGATTTCAGGAAATAAGACCGATACTACATGGTTATATATATGTATATTTGTTTTCATTATAACATAGATAAATTAGCATGTAAAAGATGTTATACACAAAAAAAAAAAAAAATGTAAAACTAGATGTAAGGCTTAGTCAGTAAGTAGAATAAGCACGGTTATATAAACTCAAAAGCGAATCAAATTATTTAATCTTAGGGGAGAGGTGTTGTATATCGTATATCGATACAGCGACGCCTGTAATAGAATTAGTTATACCTAATATCGCACACCCAGAAGAAGAACGACACAACTCAAATATAATAATTATACAGTATGGGTAAAAATCATAATGGCTAAAAATTAAAATTAACATAAAAATTAAAGTTCTCATTCTACATACTTGGTATTTACACCAATAGATTCAAATTCATATTCTCTATCAAACATGTATTCTACAAATTTAAAAAAAGTTTTGGGTCTAATATTTAAATCAGTTATGTCTATTTTACTTTTTATTTTTTTTATCATAACCTTTGAGTTGGGTCTATTTGTAATAACTAAGAGAACACGTACTATTACTTTATAATATGATTGTTGCGTTACAATATCATATTTTATTTAATATTTCGTAAGCTTAAAAATACATCAATTTAAGTCATAAGTCGTAAGTAGAAAATAAGTAGAAAATAAAAATAAATAATTTATTATTAATAATTAATTAATAATTATTAATAATAAATTAAATAATTATAATTAAATAATTAATAATTATTATATAATAATATACGCGGTGGGGACTGTCCGCCGCGTACGACGCCGATCGACACGCACACGCCAGTCGACGTTACGGTTTCACAAATAACGACAATATTGAATATACGTCTTTAACACCGTACTAATTTGTGTTGTTTATTAATAACAGTAAAATACAACAGATATTAATCACATAAATAAAAACATTTTAGAAATGTATTAAAAACAAAAAAAAAATAAATATTTTTTGGATGAAAAAAATATTAAAAATGGTTTTAAAAATATTTTTATGACTTAAAACAAAACGTATTGAAAATGTATTTAAAATGTTAATTACACATTTTAAAAGTAATGTAAAGGCGGACATTAAGACATTTTAAAAACATTTTTAATAAAATAAAATAATATTTTTCATACATTTTTTAAAATGTTTCAAAAACATTTCTTTGCTGCTTGGGTTGTTGTTCCTTTTCCGTAATATTATTGTATAATTGTTCGGTTTGATTTATTGTGTTACCTATACTTCTTATTGTTGATTTTACTACAGTGGTTTGGGTTTCCATTATGTGTAATATGTTAGTTCCTGATTCTTCCGTTTTTTGTATAGCTTCTCGTGTTGTCTTAGTGCATTTGTCATCACATACGCCAAATAATGTATGCATGGTGTTACCTATTATGTTTATTAATCCTCTTTTCTTTCTATGTTTATCATTATCTATAGTACTTCCTAGTGACATATATGTACGTTCTTTCTGTTTAGTTATTTCGTTATATAAATCTGTAATTACTATTTGATATTTTCCACATAAATCTTGGTATTTCTGGTCAGTACATAAATTCGTTATATTTTTTATTTTTACCCCCAATAGTTCATATTTCGTGTTATATTCTTTTAATGAGAAAAACATTACAAGACTGTATTGAGCCCCTATTAATCTAACTGGCCCCAACCCTTCATATTGTATTCCCCTGCCAACTCCATAAGGCATATACGAGAAGTACTCTGATGCATTTATTTCGTCAGAGTCGACAGTATTGACTAGAAAACTCGTCACCATCACCAATCTAAAAGTATAAAGTATATTCATATTAAACTAACTATTTTATTATAATCTTATAAAATTAATACTATCTAATATAATCCAAAATATCTCTAGCATCATGTAAGAGTTAAAAAATATATATACTATTTATATAATAAATAGGTATGTTATTAATTATTAAAATTTATAAATTATAAATTTAAATATAAAAATTACTATTTTAATTTAATTCATTCTTATTATACAATGTGTGTAGTTACACTATTCGTACAAAAAAATCGTATTATAATTAAAAATTAATTGTGATTATAACAATATTTAAATGCTAACAGGTATAACAGGAATCCTACCGCTAGAACGTTCCGATGCTGTTTTGGACATATATGTTCATACAGTTTGATGCAATGTACCTCAACGTGTAAGAATTGTGAAACTGATGAAGCCGAGTTTCTTACTGTAGACGTTTTGAAAGATGTTTCGATTGATCCTGCAGTTGAAGAATTAGTTACGAATACAGAAGAAACAGGAGTTGAATTAAGTACTTCGCCGGAAGATTTAAATAATCGAAAAGTGTACTGCGAGCAACCATCACTAGAATCTTGTTCCATAGTTTATTTTGCAGGCTACTTAGCAAAAAAGTGTTTGGATAAGTTTTTATGCACAGATTGTGATTTGACTAAAAACAAAAATGAATATTTAAACGAACCACCACAAATTTTAATTCTAAAAAAAACGTTCGACAACGTTGGACTGGCGCAAGGTCTCAAAACTCCATCGGATAAGCTTGTAGAAATAGTTGAAATTTGTTTAAATGTATTTGAAAATTATTTTCCAAAAATCAAGACTGAAAAAAAAATTATATTTTCATTTAAAGAAAAGGCTCTACCAATAATATACCAAAAATATTCTGATGTCGAGAACTCCACATGTCACAATCATTATATTATGTATATTATTGAGTTGTTGTTTAGAACAAAATTATATAAAGAATGTAAAGTGGAAAATACTAACGTAAGAAAGCGAGTAGTGCAGGACACGGATAAGTTACGTATATTACAGAATAAATGATAATATTATATTTTTTTTTTATTATTATAATTAATATTAATGTTAATTTTTAATTTTAGTATTTTACAACTTGTATTAAGTCGCCGTGACTGCCCGTGAGTATATTCTAAACATTTAAATAATTTTATGAAATATATATATTATATACAAGTAGTATACCTAATAATAATTATATAACTATAATTAATAATAAATGGCAAGTTTACTTTATGTTTCGAATTTAAATCTGACGAAGTGTGACTACACTCTATATACAAGTAGTTAGCTAAGTCATAGATTATTCTATGGTTCAGTGGCGGCGTGAAAAGCTATTTTATGATGCAGTTGCTTCATAGGAAAAAATAGTTCACGCCGCCACTGCAGTATGGTTAAATAACACGAATTTATTAAGGTACCTACGTGCAATCAAAAATTTGTTGTGTAGTTTAAACTGTTAAAATATTGTTTATTTGCTTATAAGTTATAACTTATAACATTTCACTATTTTTCTGTAAAACAAAAAAAAATATATTTAGGCTTATTTAGCCTGTTAGTACGCCTGTTTTCTCCAGCACCGCACTCGGCCAAATTCATTCATAAATCCTAATTAATAATTTTCCTAATATAAATATGTCGGAGCGGTGGTTAACAGGCGGCCGGCGCGGCGGGACACCACGATTACGACGATAAACGGATAAAAACCAGTTATCCCCGCACTTCACTCCAACATAGTTACGGCGGCTGGAATAAAATACGAATTTATTAGTATTATTGGTTCTTATCGCCATCTACCGAGAGTTTTATTGTACGCCACCGAAAATACGGCCAGTGAGCAATCTATAGTATTTATAATCAATGGTATTACCAATACTTCTTATTGTTGATTTTACTACAGTGGTTTGGGTTTCCATTATGTGTAATATGTTAGTTCCTGATTCTTCCGTTTTTTGTATAGCTTCTCGTGTTGTCTTAGTGCATTTGTCATCACATACGCCAAATAATGTATGCATGGTGTTACCTATTATGTTTATTAATCCTCTTTTCTTTCTATGTTTATCATTATCTATAGTACTTCCTAGTGACATATATGTACGTTCTTTCTGTTTAGTTATTTCGTTATATAAATCTGTAATTACTATTTGATATTTTCCACATAAATCTTGGTATTTCTGGTCAGTACATAAATTCGTTATATTTTTTATTTTTACCCCCAATAGTTCATATTTCGTGTTATATTCTTTTAATGAGAAAAACATTACAAGACTGTATTGAGCCCCTATTAATCTAACTGGCCCCAACCCTTCATATTGTATTCCCCTGCCAACTCCATAAGGCATATACGAGAAGTACTCTGATGCATTTATTTCGTCAGAGTCGACAGTATTGACTAGAAAACTCGTCACCATCACCAATCTAAAAGTATAAAGTATATTCATATTAAACTAACTATTTTATTATAATCTTATAAAATTAATACTATCTAATATAATCCAAAATATCTCTAGCATCATGTAAGAGTTTCATATAATCTATTAACCGTTTACATAAGGTATTTGTGGGTGTTAAAGAATCTGATGACAAATCGTACATAATTAGTGTTAAAATTTGCATAATTTTTGTTATTTCGAGAGTACCAAATGGTTCCTCCATAAAATTATTTTCCGTATTAATATGTCCTATTAAACACCTCGGTGTGTGTTCCGGTCCTAAAGTAAGTATATGTTTCGTGAATTTCTTGCTCGATCACCATTCCTAGTTCCACAATGAATTTTCTTTGTCTGACACTAAAATTAAAATGTATTTTTTTTTATCGTATTTATTTTTTTGTTATTATTTTATTGTATTTTTTTTTGACTAGATTTATTATATAATTATCCATGGATCCAAACAAACCCACTGAAACTCGGACCCGCACATATATTATTCGAAATCGTGCGTATATATATATTTTTTATTTATGAATTTTATTTAATGCATTATTATTATTATTTTTTTTTTAATTAATTAGCTCGAGGCCCAGACATAACGATGGTGATTGAATGGCCAGAGGGGTTTACCCCTCCACCGGACCATGTCGTATCGGGAATTTTATTGTCGGATGATGAAGAAGATGATTCCGATTAATTAATTTAAAGGAAAAACTGTTTATTAGACTGAATGATGTTAATTATCATATATATTTTTGTTTAATAAATCAGTTTTTAATCTTTATCTGAATCCCCTTTTATTACATTGGGTTATTAATTATTTTCTGAGAATAAGTTTTTAATATATGTTCTGTTTCTATTCCTAAAATTAGTATAATTATTCTAACTTAATATTGCTATATACTTATTATTTTAGATTCTGAGTGAAACGATGAATGTATTGATTTTACAATGATGTGTGTTTTTTTTTTTAATTTTTTTTTTTTGTGTCTGTTTACACGATAAGTAGTCGAAATAATGCTTCGATTTTCGACTTCAGTATCTTGTTCGATTGGAAAGTGAATATCGTTGGTGCATTGGGGAGGTCAAAATTTAAATTTCCCAGTAGTTTTCAAGAGCGCCGGGAAAAACAACATAAAAATTAAGGAAAAACGGGAATTTTTACGCAAAATCGGTTTTCCAAAAAATCGATTTTGGTTTTTGGTGTAACTTTAAAACAAATAACCGTAGATACATGAAATGTTCAGTGGTTGTTTATATTTGCATTTTCTATACACGATAACATTTTCAAAATATTTTGATTTATTTTGAACTGTTTAGGGACATTTTCAGTTTCCAATTTTATTAGTTTTTTTTTTTATGAATATCAATAAAAATTTATTTGTTGAGTAAAAATACTTGAAAATTTAATACAAGGCTCCTACTATATTGTTTCAAAGACAGATGAAAAATATTAAAAATCGTTAGTCACAGTTTTTTTTTTTAAGCATTTAAATTTCAAACAATGACAAAATATGGAAAAATCACGAAAATTTGCAAATTATTTCGAGTTAGAAATTCATAAAAATTTTTCTTTTTAAATCTAGGATATGAAAATGTAATACAAGATTCCTTATAAGATTTCCTACATTTATCAAAAAAAAAAATTCTATAAGAAAGTCAAATTAAATTTTTATGAGCGTTTGAAATTCAAATTTTTACAACATTGGATATTCACTCGATTTGTCATGTAGTGATTTTCTTATTTTGTTGTTATTCAAAAACGAATAACTATAGATACATGAAAATTTCACTGAATGTTCAGCTTAGCATTTCCTATACACCGTACAATTTTGAAAATATTTTGACTCTTTTTGAGCTGTTAATGGACATTTTCAGTTTTCAATTTTTTTAGTTTTTTTTTTCTATAAATATCAATAAAGTTTTATCTGTTGGGCCAAAAAGTGTAAAAATTTAATACAAGGCTCCTGATATATTGTTACAGTATCAGTTGAAAAATATTAAAAATGCATATGCACGATTTTTTTTTATAGGCATTTAAAGTTGGAATTTTGACAAAATTTATCAAAATATCGAAAATTATCAATCGTTGGAATTAAAAAATTATAAAATGTTCAGTTTTTATAACTAAGAGTTGAAAATTTAAAACAAAGATTCTCTTAAATAATTCATACTGTAACCAAAAAATCTAAAAAATATATAAACACACTTATTTTTTACAGACATTTTAATTTCAAATTTAGACAAAATTTCATATTTAAACCAAGAATTACGATTTTAGTTATTTTGTTGTGATTGAATAATATTATTCGTGGGTACTTGAAACTTTTAAAGTATACTATTATATATCTATGATAGTATCACGGTTTTTGTTGATGTATAACGCTTTATAAGTATCTAATGGATATTGTGATATGATTAGTTTGGAATTTATTATAGGTACCTATTATAGGTCAATTTTTTGTTTAATACCATAGATATGTATATATTATATAATATGTCTTATACATGGACTGACATACCGTCACCGCTCAGAATCGTTTTTCTTATACAATGATATTATATCATTGAATTCAAATTTAATACCATCCATTATACAGTTACCCACTGTACAGCAGAGCGACATCCACTTACCCACCTTTTTTTTTTTATTATTGCTATTTTTTTTTAATTGACTTGTGCGTCATTATTATATTTTTTTACGTTATTTCTATGTACAGTAATGACCTTGCGGCCTCGCTGTATGGCTACATTCTCGTTCCCTATAACTGCTGTGACCTCGTACTTTCTATTTTTGTCTATTATATGAGTAGTATAAATTGGGGGCTTCTGAATCCACAACCCATTATCCCATTATCCTTGCATTATCCCCACAACCCACAACCCACAACCCATTATCCCATTATCCTTGCATTATCCCCACAACCCACAACCCACAACCACAACCACAACCACAACCCACAACCGCTGAACCTCATGCCTCACCCCACCGCCCGCTGCTCGCGTACGTGCGTGACTTATATTATTGTTATCACATGTTATCAGTGTTATCATATTTTATCACTGTTATCATATTATTTCCGTTATCGTATTTTATCACATGTTACGCCGCCACCGGCCGAAAATAAGCTAAAAATTTTTTTTCGGACCGGGATTCGAACCCGAGTCCGTCGGTTCGGCCAGCGATCACCGTACCACTGCGCCACCCCGACACATATATACTCTGTATCATATAAGAACGCACCGCGTTGGCGCATCCAAATGAATCGCGGAGCGACGTCCGGACCCCCTGGCCGGGTCTATTCGCTCTGTGATTGGTCGCCGATCGTCGGTCGGATTCGCCGCCGTCGACGATGTTGCCGCCGCCGACGACGCCGCCGTGAATACAGGGAACTGAAGTAATAATGCGTTTCACGCGTATTATGCAGTAAAATAATACACATACTTTTCGTTTTTTTTTCTTAACATAGGTATTGAACACAATATAATATTAAAAACGTTTTTACCGATCCTACCACCATTTTTTCCTTTATATCTGTGTACCTACGTTTTATTAATTATGCACCTTGATATAATATAATAGTAATATAATAA